GGGGGAGGGGGGGCGTACTCTCATTAGCGATGATTTTTCGGAGGAGGAGGAGGAGGAGGAGGAGGGATGAGCCTCGCTCGATTAATTCGACGAGGCTGATTTCGCACGACTCCCCCTCCTGTTTTTCGGATCGGTGTTGTGTTCAGCTGTGCAGATCGTCCAATTATATCGGGCAGGTTGTGGAGCAAGAGAATTTTGAGAACCTTAACCTTTGTTAGTGTTGGGCAATCGGCTTATAGGATACACGGTCAATTTTTGAATGGGATTGAAGTGGAAATTCCCTGTTAATCCGGAAATGTGACGAACGGAAGCGGGTTGGTTAGAGATATTGGATATTGGACGGTGATGATCGATGGTGTCGGTGGTGAATTTTTTTTTTTTTTTGAGATAGTTGAAGTGTAAGAAGCGGCACTTTTTAGATGCTAGATTTATAGAGAATTTATATAGAATTTGTCGTATCTCTGGGACCAGTGTAACTCGTGATTTTCGATTTTCATTTTCCCAGTAGAGGAGTTTTGTTAATCTTATATATAATTTTATTAATTTTGTAATATAATTTATAATATAATTTTATTTCTCTTAGTTCAAATTTCTGAATATATATATATTATTAAATCTGCACAAAGTTTACAATATATTATTAATTTTCACGATAATATCAATTCATCATAGTGAAGAAGATGGTAGAGTAAATAAGGTAAAAAATAAAAATTCTCCTCGTTTTGGTTGAAAAAAGAAAAAAAGAAATAATGGCGTCTCGAGGTATCGATTATTTTTCCCGGACACGCTCGAGTGACCAGAAGAGAATTCCCGCGTTGATTGGTAAGATAACACTGGTCAATCTTCCGTGCAACACAATACCTGCCCCCCAACCTGTTGAACCCGTGAAATCGTATTCTTTCGTCCCCTAATTATGCTCCTATATAAAACGAACCAATGTTGTTTCCCTCGTCAGTGTGTTAATTCCAAGTATCCTCACGCGTTTATTTTTCTCTGAAATTTTCTCTGAATTGTGCAACCCAATTTTTATATTCTTCTTTTTATTTTATTTATATAATTTTTATATTCTTCTCTTTTTATATTCTTTCGAAGAAGATTTGTTTCTAATCTAATTGAACTTGTGAATTATTATTGATACAATTTATTGGAAATTGGTTATTTATCGATCGAGAGAGAAAGTTGTTATTAATAATGTATAATTGTAGGGGAAAAGTGATAAATACCCTCAAATCTACCTCGACCAGTCCCACTTGACCCTTCATTTGGCTGCATGGCCCAATTATCTGCAATACAAAATATTCGATTATGCATTCTCGTTTTTTTTAAATTGTTAAAATAATATGTATTAGAATTTGTAATTGAATTTTGCAGAAAATTCGACGTGATTCGAATTAAGAACATTTCGAATTTACACGAATATATATATACATACGCATACTATAAAAGAATAATGGTTTAATGAAATAAAATTTAAGAATTTTATCTCATCGAGGAAATTTCTTATTTTTTTTTTCTTTTCTTTGTGATTGTATCTTTCTGTCGAAAGAAAATTTTCTATCGATTATTAACAAAAATATGTTACATTAAAAATAGAATACCATTGATTAGTCGTAAAATTCAACTAATTTCCTAGTTTTATTGAGTTTAATCTAAGAAAATATTGTACAAAATGAAGCTGCAGAATGTTACATTAAAAATAGAATATCATTGATTATTCGTAAAATTCAACTAATTTCCTAGTTTTAATTGAGTTTAATCAAAGAAAATATTGCGAAGAATGAAGCTGCGGAGGAAAGATTGATCGATAATGTTGACGGCGTGACAAATTAGCGGATCTCATTTCTTTTCGTATCATTGTTACGTTTTTATA